AAACATTACCCAACTGTAAATTATGATTACAGCTATATACGTATACATATGTATATATGTATATATGTAGCTAAGCGTCTTTAATATAATAATTGTTAAGGACCTAAAAAACAAAAAAAAAAAATAATAAAATATTTACTTACCTTTACACATGGATTCATTTTAACCAAATTTCCAATTAAAATATTTGATGTAGAAGATTTTAAACTTCTCAAAGATTCACGACGATTAATTCTTGATGTACTGCGAAGATCATGCATAAAACTTTTATTAAAATTTTCATTTTTATTTTTCTTAGTACTGCAAAAAACACTTGAAAATGATTTTCGACGAACTGGAGTTGAAGGCATTTTAAAAATAGTTTTTTTTTGTTTTTGAGTTTTATTTATATTTATTTTTACAAATTATTTTATAAATTACAATTTGTATTTAATATTTTTAGATGCACAAACACAATTTTCAATTATAAACAAACAACTAGTCAAACTGACACTGCACTTTTAAATATTTGAAATATGCAAATTATAAAGTATATTTATGAACTAATATGACATTTAGCAAAGACAAATAATATGGTTTTTGAATTAGATAGAACTGAAAATTTAATTTGCTACTTAACACAAAATTAAAATTATGAACTGAATTTTTTTTTAATATTCAATAAAAATTTAAAATAAAATAAAAAATAATATTTCTATTAAAATTAAATAAAATATTAGAAATTAATTAAATAGAAAAATGTATGACATTTTCTGTTTTTTAAATTTCATTATTAAAGAATGCAAATTCACAATATGTTTTAAGTAATTCAAAATATAAGACTAAATATCGATATGGTAGTGTTTCAGTTTAGTACTTCTAGTTTCTAATAGGTGGCTAAAATTCACCTTCAACATCCAAAATATTATCAATATTTACGAAGAAATGAGTAGATTTAATATTTATTTTTATTTAACGCCGTAATATTAAAATTGCAAAATCGAAAAAAGAAAAAATGAAAAGACAGAAAAATTATTGTACAAATAATTAAAAGGTTAACTTTTAAATGTTTAATACAATAAAATTTTGTTGATTTTAATACATGCTAAAATTCTAATTAAACAAGTAAGGTATTCTTTTACTCTTAGAGCTTGCAGGGCATTTTTGCCAAAGAAAAAATCTAATCTGCAAAATAAAGTAACCTGTAACTTCAACTTCATTGCATTTAAAATTGTTTTGGTTAATAAATTAGGGTGACATTAGATTTATAATCAGTAACTGCTGTCACCTGCTTTTTCCACCATGTGAAACGTTTTGCCTCAAATCTTTCAATTTATAATTTTCAACAATCTACCAACAACTACTTTTTTTTCAAAAACTTATTAATGATAATAAATTGTAATTCAACTTTTCATTTATTTATTTTTCTTTATAATATAATTTTTCTTTTTCATTTAATTCATTATTATTTCATCAAAAAACTTAAATAAATTCAGGTGAAATAAATTTTTACTGTCACAATTTTGTAAAACATGAGGGTAAATAATTTTGTGGGTGTTTTGCTGCTTTATGGGTTAATCAATTTGTTGAGAAAAATTTCATGCATGTTCACATTTCTACTTAATAATTTTTATTGTTTTATTCGAATATTATTGATTTGTAGAACACCTGAATTCCATAATTTTTAAATGCTACCACAGTAAATTACCACCTGATGTGATTAATTACTTTTATAAAGCATTAAATTTTATTTACATATAAAAATATTTGTAATAAATATTTGTACTACGTAACATGCATTTAATTTGACACTCCACTCAATTTGACATGGTACATATACCCACATAAATGTACATATTATGTACATGTAACAGCAAATTATGTTATGTATGAATGCATGTTACATATTTATATATGTACGTTATATACGAAAAATGCCCTAAAATAAGATTAATATTTAATTTATGTCAAATTAATTCATGTAAAAAATAAATAATTTAAACTATTGCGTTACTTAATGCATATATTGTATGTACATATGCATGCGCACACATCCAAATATACATACATATATTTCTTTTGCTCATTTATGTTATTATATGCAACAATTTTTGGATTTAAACTATTTATTTATGTCGCAATCTTTCCTTCCATTCTATCCATCATTTAGGTACAATCAATAATATCAATATTTAATTGATCAATAACTAATTCAAATATTTTGATATGACGCAGGATTTACTCTGCTTATTAATATGAAGTTTCAATATTTATGAATTATGAATTAAAGTCGACGGAAAAAAGAGCTTAAATTGCAAGCCCAGTATCCAAAACTTCTTTAATAAAACAAATTTTGTTTACAATGTGCATGAAGTTGCATTACAAAATTTGGTATGTACCTGATATTTTTTTCGAATCGCCATTTTGTCAAACATGAAACATAGAACAGAAATGTTTTGGGTGGTTCCCGATTTTGCAAATGGATTTTATCAAAATTTTCTAATATTTCAAAAAATTGAGGAACAAATATGATTACAACTGCGTTTCTGCATGTCTGTCATTTTATCAAGGATTACCGCCTGGAGTTATTAAGTGAAAGATTATGTAATTTAAAAATTTTGATTTTTTTTTTTGCAAATATTTAAAGCTCTTTTGCCTAGTTTTAATATAATTAATTTTGTCATATAAACAATTGACAATTTTTAAAAATTCTAAACTCAAATCCGATTTTTTCACTCAATTTTTCATTTTCTATTTTTATTTTTTAATTTATTCCGATATCTTTATTTAAGCTCTATATTTTTTATTGTTATTACCCATACTATATTTAAATGTGTAATTTGTTTTTCACCTTTTAAGATAATTACATATTTTATGAATTTAATTTATTCACAATAAAATAATTTATATGTACTTGTGTGCCTACAGACTTCTATTTTATGTGCATTTTTCAACATTTTTAACCATATGGTTCGACTAGATTCTGTCACTATATTAAAAGTTTTCAAAATTAAATTGTAAATTGTATAAAATTTTCTGAAAAAAATTTCAAGATTTATTATAATCAAGATTATTTTACTTTCATAATTATTGTCAAAAAAAAAAAAAAAAGCGTACTTATTTGAATTAAATAACAATACGTTGTAAACTGATTGAAACTGATTGAAATTTTCAATAATTTTTAGCTGTACATATGTCTGTATGAGTGTATGTAGGTACATTTCTATGCATGCAGATGGTGGTGCTTTAAGAAAGCCTGTCAAACTAAATTGCGTTATTGTAGCCACTGTGCTCAATTCAATTGAATTTTTATTGTCTAGGAATTTTTGTTTTTTCTTTTTTCCTTTTTTTTTGTCATTTTTGCATATTTTATTTTTTTTTTTTTTTTTTGACAATTTCATAAGTGTTTTTCAGTGAAGCAAAATAAGAACTTTGTTTCTTTTATTTTTTATATTTTTCAAATTTTATTTTGTTATTTGAATAGAATTTGCAAATTAATTAGTAAAAAAAAAAAACAAACAAAAAAAGAAAAATTGAAATTTTCGCATAATGCATTTAAAATAAATGAATTTTGAATTGGAGTTATTCTTGTCAATTCTGAGGTACATAAATAGTACTTAAATTTAATAAACAAATTGCCTGATATGTTGGTTTGTATTTTCTAATATATTTTGGTAATATGAACTTATCTGTATCTTATATACAGGGTATTCTATACAGTGGTGCATTGACATACAAATACAACTGTGCTGATCTTGGTTTGTAAGAAAAAAAAATTAACAAAATGCCACTGTCGCAGTCAGTTTTTTTTTTGGCTGGGTTGGATACGGCAGTAATTTAAAAATGCTGGATAATTGCAAGAGTAGGATACAAACAAGCATAAAATGAACTTCATAGAATTTTTCATAGTTTCGATACCACAAATATTTAAAAAATGAATTTTTGACATTTTTTTAATTTGTGATTTTTAAATAACAATAATCTTTAGTAATACGAAAATATTAGTCACTTAAAAGACTAACTATTTTTGAATTTTATAATGCCATTTAAATAGTTATAAGAAAAATCATAATAATGGGTGACTTTACAAACATTTGATTGTCAATTAGTGAGAAAAACCCAAAAAAAAAATCGGAATTGTAATTAATAATTAGTAGTGTTGTCATTTATTTTTATATGTTAAATATATTATGTACCTATATATGTAAATAAATTCATATAAATTTTAATTAATCATGAAAATATGTTTGTTTTAGGTGTTAAAGACTTTCAAACGAGCCGAAGTTATAAAAGAAAATATTCTAACAAATTGCACATTCCATCTGCTCCAGAATGATCGATATCAACCCGAGAATCCACGAATATAAATATGTAATCTACTAATGCATCAAATCACAGAATCTCAACTATAAAGTGTGATTAAATAGTCGAAACTCAATAATTTGTGAGCGCATTATTCGAGCATCAGCCTATGCATTTTGAAATTCAAAAAAACAAAATCTAGTTGACTTAATAATGACAATAGTTGGAATAAATGCAAAAAAGAATATATTAAAAGAATCCAAATAGCAAAATTATCACCCATTATAATTGTAGAATAATGAAAACAAGCAAAACCTCCAAAATTATAATTTGAAAAGTTCACCTCGTCATATTGGAATATGTTACAAAAAAATGCGATATAAGCTATATACATACATGAAACAGACGACAATGGGTGCGTAAAGGTAAACTTTAAATTGCATTATGACGTCATGATTGAATCTTTCATTTACACTTTTATTTACTTATTTTCTTTTTTTTTGTTTATCTTTTTTGTTTGTTTAACAACCTACAAATGAATAAATAAAATTGTTTCAAATATTGTACCAAATCTAATGATCAGACCCAGACATTTAATTATTGTTAACGCAATTTTTTTTTTTTAACTATTTTTGTTATTTTTGTTATACTTCTCGAATTTAAAGCAGGATTAAACGGGGGTATATAAATAGAACTTTAAAATGAACTATTGTTAGCAGTTTTAAATCAAATTTTGTAACTATTTAAACGAATTTCAAATATTTCTATAAATAAATTTTTTAGAAAAATGTTAAAGGTTGTAATATTGCAAAATTTTTTATTAATATTATTAAAAAATTTTAAACATAATTAATTTTTTTTTTATTAATTTTTATTTTAGTTTATACTTGCTCTAATTTTATTGTATACAACAACAATATTGGGATATGATGGACCAGCAATTGTTTCACAAGATCAAAATATTCTAAGATCATATGGTAATTTAGGACAAGTTTCAACATATTCAAAAACTTTAGATACACCATTTACATCAGTACGTAAAGCAGATGTACGTATTAGTAATCCAGGTATAATAGCATCACCAGCATATGCACATGTCGGTTATCCAGCTACAGCATCAATTGGTTATCCTGGTTTAGTAACAACAGCACATCATGCTGTTTTACCAACAATATCACATGCAAGTTATGTTAAACCGGCACCAATAGCAACAATTCAACATCATATTCCAACAGCAAGTTATGTAACACCAGCAATTACTGGTAAAACAATTATACCAGCTGGTGCTTCAGGCAGTTTATTAGGTGTTGCATATTCAGCTGCACCAACTGTATCACATATGTCATTCAGTAATGGATTAGGTTTATCATATGAATGGTAGAATTTTAAAATGATATGAAAAAAATTGAGGAGATTTAAAACCAAAACAATAATAAACGCTTTGTTTTTTTTTGTTTTTTGTCTGTTGTTGGCAATATTTATGTATAATTGCATATTTTATCAGTAGACCTATAAGTGCAATTTATATGTGTATGTATTCTTTTTTCATATTATTTATAAACGCTCGCATCTTATAAATTTTGTGCTTCTTATATATTTTTATAATGATTTTTAACATGTTAATTTTTTTGTTTTTATACATTTATGCAATATCAATAAATTCTTTTTTTAAGATTGATGTTTTTCGATAATATTATTCGTATATTTAGAAATTTGATTTACATATTTAGAATTCCTATATACCCACGCTATAATTTCAGATATCAGACAAGTACCTACATAAAAATTTGTATGTTAAACTGGAGATGTTTTTAATATGTTGAATTTCTAAACGTACCTACATACATTTATAATCAAAGAAGTTTTTAAAATAAATCATTAAAGATAAGGCTTATAGAATAGAATTTTTGATTCCGGAATTGCATTAAGATGCTCTATTAATACAGAATACTTACAGCTTACATGATGAATAATAGTTGCTGAATTGTTCAGAGTGTTACTGCGAATTTTCATACTCTACATAAACCAAAGATTTTAAGAACATTGTAGTTTCTGTCGTTGATTAAACACAATTCAACTCATAAATTATAGCTGCTAAATAATTCATAAAACGTTGAGTTAGCATTTGAATTGGATCCGAACAAATTCTTAACTTTCATCTTTTTGTTTTTTGTATTTTATGTGAAAAGAACGTGTTACGAGTATATGATGCAAATAAATTTTTGAAAACTGATTTGTTTCGAAGCAATTCAATGTTGTCTTATCTTTGTGGAAAAAAGTGAGTTTTGAAGCAGTTTATATGAAAATGGTGTAAATTTTTGCAAGATCTTTTAAAGGCTATTATTATAGATACGAAAGTATCTTTACGATATTATAGAAACGATAAATGGTGGAAGAGTTGGTTTTCGAAACAAGATACTACTACTCGTACATTAATACTGTATGACTGCTAATTTTAAGTCAGGATAAATATTATGCTTTTATTTTGATAATACCTCTACTTGATTTCATTTGTGTTGATCTGAATGTTATAGCAACCGCTAGTTGAACCATAACTAAAATATATAATTATAATGAATAATAAATTTAAGGATATTCTACATAATCTATATCTTCAATTACAATATTTAAATTAAACCACATATTAAATTAAAATTTACCTTGAATTTATAAATCTGTTAAAATTTTGGCTATATGATTAGCGCATCACATAAATTTTATACTTGAAAAACTTGCAAAATGTTAACGTTTAATATAATAAAGAAAAAAAAAATGGAAAACTGGTGCAAAAATAAAAAATTGGTTCAAACAAAATTTTTTTTTTTTTTTTATCGTTAACATTAAAACCATGACCTTGTGTAAATATAACAAAGTGGTTTAACAGAAAAAAAACAAGTAATAATTTTATTTCTGTATTAAAAAAAAAATATAACAATAATAAAATAATAAAAAAGGAATATTTAAATAACATTATTGGCGGCTTCATTTAACAATTATTAATAAAAGTATGTAAGTGTATTGACTAAAAGACAAGTGGCAGAAAAGACAACCTGCTTCTTAAGTACATAAAATTTCCAGGGTTATTTTTATAATATTTATAATAAAGGTTTTTTATTTCACAAAAAATAAAAATTAAAAACAAAATTAAAACGAATTGAATTTGGGCCAGTAATGTCAAAAAGTCAATATACTTTTGATGATAACCACACACACACTCTAAACTAAAATTAAAACAAAAACTTTTATTGGAAAAAAAAAATTTAATTCTAAAAGATTTTTGCTTCCGTACAGTTTTTTAATATATATGAGTTTAAGTTATTAATTAAATTAATAAAAATATTTTCTATATGCAATGACTATATCATTTTTCATAATTCCTTGAAAGGAATAATAACAAGTGTTATGAATGATCTGATAAAATTTCTTGAAATTCAAATTGTGTGCATTAGAGTGCCATGTTATTGTATGTTAAAAAATAATTTTTGTTATAAGGGAGTTTTCGTTTATTCAGTTCTAGAATAGTTCTAGCTACGTACTACGTTCGAAAATTCATGCTACATATACTGAGAAAATATAGATCGTTCGGAAATTCAATCTGCAATAAAGAAATGTTAGAAAAGTAGCTCAGATCTCTAGTATAAATTTTGTCGCTGCCTCATGAATTTTTTTTTTTTTAAAGTAAATATTCTAAAAAAAATTTTTAATTTCAAAATAGCAGATTCAAATCTTGTTAAAATTTGTAGTGAATCAGGGGGCGAAAAATAATTGGGATACAATTTCATATAAAATGTCATTTCTGTTCGAGTGATTCATTTCGGATGACTGATTATTTAAAATTTTCAGAATTTTTAGACTGCGTAAACAAAAAAAAAAAAAAAAATTAGCTAAAGTTTTTGTATACTGTTTAACGCTGTGACTTTTAGAAATTTTAGTTCTAATGTAGAACTTTCAGTGCAGCGTGCATGAACGAAAACTAACTTCTATTGATGGAAAATTCAGTGATTTCAACTCCTATTTTGAATTGTGCGTTTATAACATATTATTGGAATTTTGATGGTAGTTTGACACTAATTTACTGTTTTTAAATCTGACTTGCAAATAACATTTTCGATTACAGGCTTTACATGAATACCTATGAATGTTTTTTTGGAGATATAGATTTTAGGGTAGCTTTGGTTTAATCGGTAGCAGTATCACATTTGCTAAATAAGCCAAATTAGCGAATAGATCATCTCACTATAATTCGCAGTATATTGAATGACAAAAATGCATTTCAAACATTTGTAAACAATAGAAAAAATAAATGTTATTTCTTAAATTTCTTAAATTAAATTTTAATACAAAATATTAAAAATAAAAACTTTTATTATTACGAGTAATAAAATTTTAAGAATAAAGAAATAATAAATTTTATAATAAAATAAAATATCTTAAATATTTTGTTTTTAGCATTTTTTTTTTAAATTTCCGTGAAATATAATTACGGTTTTAATTTTGTTCAACAGTCGGTTGGTCTTTTTTTTAATATTTAAGTCAGTTACTCTTACGGGGAAAATTATTACATCAGAAGCATTCTTTCCAGCTAAAGTGCCAGTTTTAGAAAATTTTTTTTTAATATTCCGCCTAAATGTATGCAATACAATAATGTAATCAAATAGTAGTGCTTATTTTTGGAATCGAATTCTCATGTGATATCACGAAAATTTCAAATCTTTCAAATTAGGTACAAATTATTTGTGATATTGGTTTGTGTTTACAACTATAATATCAATATAATTTTCATGATGAATATCACTATCATCACACTTATTGATTCGATTCACAGAATATGTGACAGTAATCTTAACAGAACGTCATTTTAATTCTTAATGCTTTGCGACAATATGAAAATTTAAATTTCTGATTAAAATTTATTTAAAATGAAAAATATGCTATTTTACAAAGTATTGGTTTGATAAACCCTATTTTTCAAAATAGAATATTTATTATGTATTTATTAACTCATAATGAAATGTAAAATTTTTACTTTCAAAACTGATTAATTATACTTTTCATTGTGGATTATTATTTTACACAATACTCCACCTTATTACAGACTTACATAAATAAATTGCCTTCACATGTTATCTATATAACCACATATATATTTAATATTATTTTGCCCATTGCCTTAAGCTCATTAATGAATAATATTAATTGTCTTAAAAAATAAAATTATTGCAACTATGGTGAAAGATGCAATTATATTTGCAATTTTTGAATGAATGGAAATGAAAAAAAAATAATAATCTTACACACGAAAAGAAGAACTTGACATCAAAAATTGCACTCTATTTTAAACTCAAAAATTTATATACATATTTATTTATTTAACATAAATATAATCATAATTTTATACCAAAACCGGTAATTTTGATTTTATTTCTATAATTTTATTGCGATTATACCATTATATCATAATCAATAACATTTAATTAATTGTTGAGAAGAATTGTATGCAATTTAAGGATTTTGATCCAAATTTTAATAAAGAAATAATATGTACAGATTCTCTCAGAAAAGTAAAACAATTTAACAAAAACACGAAAACCAATCTACATTAAAACAAAAAAATTTAATTTTCTTTTTGTAATAATCACGAAAATTAAAAAAAAAAAAAATTATGTAATGACCTTCTGAATTTTTTAGTATTTAAGAAATTAAAATGAGGATCAATGGTATCAGTTTTGATCAGTCTGACGTTGAGTGAGCATCAAGACAATAAAAAAGTTTTCTTCCCTTTTTTTTTCTTTTGAATTTATAATTTTTTTTTCATTCAAAAATGTTTAAATTTATTGTAATCGCTGCTATTTCCTTAACAATTGTAAATGCTGGAAATATTGGACTAGTTGGTACAGCATATTCAGATGCATCTGCTGTTAGTTCTGTATACAATTCTATAGGACATCATAACAATATTGAACATCATAATCAACATGAAACTTATATTGCTAAACAACCTGTTGCTGTTGCATTACCAGTACATTCAGCACCAGCTTTACAGGTACATTCAGTACCAGCACTTCAATTACATTCAGCTCCAAAACTTCAAGTTCATTCAGCTCCAACACTTCAAGTTCATTCAGCACCAGCTGTTCAAGTACATTCAGCGCCAGCTCTAAAAATACAACATTCAATTCCGACACCAGTACAAGTTCATTCAACAATTCATTCAGCACCTGCTCTTTCAGTTCATTCAGTAGCAGCACAACCAACATTAAAATTACAGCATTCTGCTGTTCCATCTGTACAAGTACATTCTCATGTTCCAGTTTTGAATTTACATTCTGCTCCATTATTAAAATTACAAGCACCACCAGCCACTGCTTTCGTTCAACATTCAATTCCATCTGTTGCTGTTCATTCAACAGCTCCATCATCATCATCGTCTATTATTAAAGTCCAAAATACAGTTCCAGCTGTTAAATTACATTCTGCACAACATTTAAACACTGGTACATATTCATATGATGCAGCACATAATCCATCAGCAGCTGCTGTTGTTTATTCAAATAATAAATTACCAGTAGCTTATGCAACCAAAGAAATTAGTTATTCATTAGCTCCAGAAGTTTCTCATGTATCATTTGAAGGTCATGGTACCCAGTATGCATGGTAAATTTGAGAATAATTTATTGTTGATTTCATATGTAATGAATAAAACAAAAACTAATTGAAGCAAAAATTTATGCTACATGTATTCGAATAAAAACAATATTTTTTTTATAAATAAATAAAATACGTACTCAATTGATATTTTCAAATATAAAATAAATATTAAATTTTTTAATTTCAATATTGTCAAAAATAAAATAATAGACATCACGAGTCAATAAACAGCAAACTGTCGGTTTGAATAATTTTATAAAAATTCAATAATTCGTATCGAATCGAATGTATAATAATACATCGCGTGTCAATAGAGTATCGAATCGCTGAGTGATAATGACATTTATTGCAAAAAGTTCGATGTTGTAAACACAAACGAATTTATACGAATGATTTGTGTCTTTAATATAATTTTTAAAATTTTTACGATAAATAACACTATCACTATATAATTCGGTACTCAACATTCAAAATGAAAAATTTCATTTGACATTAAATGTCAAATTGCATATTCTCTAATTGGTGTCAAAAAAAAATTATTCTTATAGAAAAATTTCTAACCTGCAAATACATTTTCTTTGAAAAAATATTATTAAACTTTGAATTACACTTGTTCAAGTTAATGTTGTCCTTCTAAAATCCGTTCAATTTATTTTTGCTGTCTGAACATCCTAGTTAATTGCATTCCACCATATGATTGAAGGAAAACATAATAACAGCGCATGTTCCAAAGTGTTTCTCAATTGCAAACAAAAAAAAAAAGAACGGAATAAAAATCCTCATATATCCTTGAAGGGGAATGAACTAGATGTTTTTTTTTTTTGCTACATACATACAAATATATTTAAATATATTTTAAGGAAGATAACTTCTGTCAAATCATTGTCTTTTCATCACATTTTGGGTGTTAATCATTAAAATAAAATAAAAAAAAATTTTTTTTAAAAATGTTTTTTTAATGAAAATTTTAATACGACGTTCGTTCCAAAAAATTTACAATTTTTTATTAAAAAACAGTGCCAAATTGTTATTTTAAAATTAGTAGATTGTTTTTCTTAGTTTTTTTGTTTTTTAAAGAAGGAAGTAAAGTGTCTTTTTATAAGGACTTTCAATTAAAAATAGTTTTCAAAAAAAAATTTTTTTTCCAAGAGAGAAAAGAAAATTTTCTGAGGTAAATTTAAAGTGTCAAAATTTTACGCTAATTATAAAAATGTTGTCGAAATTGTTAGAGAAGTACAAAATTTATTAAAGAAAGATATTGTTGTTAACAAAAATTCGGAGTTCCCAAAGAAAGTTTTGCGTTTTTTTTTTAATGTTAATTGAAGCCTAACAAAAAATCTACACCGCCCTTTTTGTTGTTGTGTCTGCAATGTGCATATAAAAATCGTCAGATTTTTGAAAATTTTTTTTTTTTATATAATTGGGTGCAATATAGTCAGTGTTTCTCAAATTTTTTAATTAATAATTTTTTAATTTTAATTTTGATAATAGTTTGATTTTTGTATTTTTCGAATTTGTTTTTTTCTTTTTAACCACAATCATATATGTAGATATGTTGATACCTACTTGCTTTAATAATTTCTCTCTTCTTTGTTTTTTTTTTTTTACAGAAATCAAATTTTTTTTTTGTATTTACGATATAATAATTTGTTTATAATAATGTCTGATGGTGAGGAAGAAATATGTGGAACTGATAATTGGGTTATCAATTTGGAATGGATTCAAGATTTTTTAAAAGAAGTACACGAAGATGAACAAGATTTTACTATTAAAAATTATGATGTATCAAATGGTAGTACGAATGGTATACGTAATTTAAGTGAAGTTTTAGCAGTCAGTATCGATTATGAGTATAAATCTGTAATGAAACGTTTAGATTTATTTATAAAATTATTGCCGCATGATCCATTTAGCCGGTATTTTGTAACTGAGGCGCAATTCGATTTAAGAGAAATAAAATTTTATACTCAGGTATGTAAATAGTCATATCAATTTCATTCTATACTTATAAATATATTAATTTTTATAAAATTTAATTAATTGCGTTAATTGAAAATTTTACTATTTTATTATTTTACATAAATAACATGAAGATATTGCCAGATTTATTGGATTTTCAAAATAAATATTTAAAGCCAAATGAAAAACCATTATCAATTAATGTGCCAAAATGTTATCATACAACATATACATTAGGAACATTTATTGAATCAATTCATCAAAATCCAAATTTAAGTCCAGAACCACCCGAAAGTATACTAGTTTTACAGGATATGAGATCATTAAATTATAAATCAGCACATTTTACAACTGGTTTAACATATGATGAAGCAAAATATGCCATATCATCAATTGCAGTTGTTCATGCTTTATCAATTGGTATGAAATTTAAGGAGAAAGTTAATTTAAATGAAAAATATCCGGTATGTTATATAAAATATTAAAATTGAAAATTATTTTAAAATTTTTAAAAGATTATAATTAGAAATTTATGTTTTTTATTTCGAAAAAATATACGTACAATATGCAGTTTCTTTTTCAAATAAAAAAAGCGTCCGATAGTTATCAACAGTTGGTAGAACAAGGTTTACCTCAATTATCGAAATTTTTACATGAACGAGGTGGTAAAGAAGATGTATTGAATGCATTAAATGATATTCATTCTCAAACACGTGGAATAATTGAAGCATTATTACAACCTGTTGAACCAATGGGTCTAATAACACATACAGATTTTTGGTGTAATAATTTATTGATGCGAGAAAAAGCTAATCCATCTTCAGATGATAATTGTGTTATTTTAGATTGGCAAATGGTAACATATAGCAGGTACATATAGTAAACATATTATATTATTATAATTATAGTTATATACGTACACTAATAAACTTTAAATTTTATTTTTAGGCCGACAAATGATATTGCACTTCTTTTGGTGTCATCATTACCATCAGATATTAGAAGAGAAAATGTTGGTCATCTTTTAGATTATTATTTTGATTGTTTAAAAACGAATCTATGTAAAATTGATGTTGATTTGATATCAGATCTTAAATATTCAAGAGAAAAACTTGGTGAAGATTACAGACAATCTCAATTATTAGCTTTATTATTATGCATTGGATCTGTTGATATTGCATTAGGAAATCAAGAAGCCGAAAATAGATTTTTAGATGTTTTGGAAGATTTCTATAAGGAAGGAGTTTTAGGAAAAAATTTCATTCAACAATATTAAATTATAAACAAAATGACACTGTTTCAGTAAAATGCATTTAAATGTCAGCTTTCTATAGCTGAAAAAAATATGATACAAATTTGACATAAAAGAAATTAACATTTTTATTTAAAATTACAATACAAAGTATACAATATATCTTATATTATATATATATAGAAAAATTTTAAGAAATTTCAGCTTGCAGTTTTGAAAAAATAAACAAAAAATATTCAAAATTTGATTATTACCCTGTAAATGTTAAAAAAGATAAAAATTTACAGAAAACACTAATCAAACAATTTGACATAAATAAATTTTCAAAATATTACAAAATAAAAGTTGATAAAAAAAAACAGGTTTACAAAAATAAAATTGAATTCTCAACTAAACTAATCATGACAAAATTTATATAAAAAAAAAGAAATAATTATTTATTAAAACGTTAAAGCAATAAAATTTTTTTTGAACTTCCAAGTTTCAAACCAGTAAAAAAAATCGTGTACAAAATCCTATAGAATTTTCGACCGATGCAGTAGCCATAAAAAATCCAAGACAAAATAAAGCCGTCATTTTGTTTATATTTTGTAATTATTTTGTATGAATAAAGAAAAAAATTGGAATTTCCTACAGTTGTATCCCATCTAAATTAGCAAGGTTTAAGAACTTTAGTAATTGTTTTTTTCCACTTAATATTATTGCATTAACAATATTATTTTAAAAATTCTCTTTCAATATTTTTGGAAAAAATACACAACTAATTAATTTTTTTAGCCGGCATAAAACCTAAAAACGAAAGCATACTAATGTAATTATATTTTTATAATTTAAATTAAAATTCAAGATATCTGTAAAACGTTTTGATACATACATACATACTTACACATTATTTAGATAACATAAATACATAATTTAAGCTCTAATTTGATGTTTTTTTTAATTATTTTTTAAAAAAACAAATTATCATAACACACAACATAGATTAATTAAAATATTTAATACGTAGAAATGGACACCAATAAAATTCTTCATAAAAATAATTATTCATGTTTTATTTAAAAAAATATACATTTTTAAATAAATTAAATGTTAAATTTTGAGTGATTTGTGAAAAAAAAGCAAACAAAAATAGTTTGACATTAAATTACTTGTAACGAAATATCGATTAATATGAATGAAAATCGATTAATATCGCCCAGAAATAGATATTGATTAAAAAAATTAAGATTTTTTTAATATTCATTATATAGGTGAACTGAGCTCCCTAATAATCTTAAATAAATACCAGTTTCCCTCAAATTCTTATTTTTTTTTTTAAGCCATTATAAGTGGCAAGAATCAATTTCATTAAAATGTCAAAGTAATATTGAAACTTACACGCATAACATCGCATTTTGAGGCTGTAAAATCATAATTGTTTTTCTATTCTGGGTAAAATCACATATTAAGAAAAATGGCTGAGTTACGATAGTCGTAAATACAGAAAGCTTCCTTTTTTTATTCAATGAAATTGAATTGATTGATTAATAAATTTAATAAAATTTAAATTTATAAATAAAACCTATAATAGTTAATTATTAAAATAGCCGAAAAACACGACTTCTAAATAAAATTCTATAAAAAAAAAACGTTTAAATCAGCGACATTTAACAAAATAACTTTCTCTACAATAATAAAAAACATTTTTACTGCTTATGAGTAATTTACTTTTTGTATGTATGTAAAACTGCATTTCTCATTTAACGTAAACCTATTTAACATAAAATTTAAATTTAGGTAAAATATTCTCAGTTTATTACTTTTCATTCAAAATTTTTTTGTAGAAAAAATTCAATTTGAATTTCGATAAATTTAATAGTCATTTAGAAAAAAAAAACAACCCAATAAACATTTAACACTTTTACAATATTTAGAATTAATTTCACAGTTTCAGAAGCTCTGTCAGCCATTTACTTTCTAGGTAAAATGTCATGTTGAATTATAGATGTCAAAAAAAAAAATATATTTTGACAATTGCAACGCAAAAAGTCGCGATTTTCTTAACCTCAATAGTGTTTATAGCTTTTCTAATTAAATTTCAAGAAATATTTTAATAAAATTTTATAATTTTATTAATTATAAGTACAATGTGAAATCAAATTAAGAATTAACATAACAATTATCTGATTTATTATTGAATTAAAAAGTTGTATATCAGTGTATAAGTTTTTTTTTTTTTTTTTGAGAAGCTTCAGTTAAGAATCTGCGGGAAATTTTAAGTGTTCCCCCATTAAGAAAAGTATAATTTAATAAAGTGTAATTACTTTTAATAAAATTTATAATTGAATTGAAAAAAACCTAAATAAAATATAAATTAAATTTAAAAAGTTAAAAAAAAATATAAATGAAAATTTTAATATTGTAAAAGGAAAAAGTTGGGCGCTGAAACAATAATTTTATTGGTATGATTATGTGTTGCCATTATAAATGAGAAGTAATTTGCAAAAGGAAAAATAGAAAAAATGAAAAAAAAATTACCTAGCTGACGTTTTGTAATTTATTTTTTCTCTTTTTTTTTTTTTTTATTTGTTTATGGCTACAACAAAATGGTTTGATTCTATGATTTATTTTGGTTTAAGAATAAAATATAATGGTTTAGAATCTAGATAATTTGAATGAAAATTAATTTATACAAGTAAAATTACTCTACCTAATAATATTTTTAAGAATATGTACACAAAATTGTTTATTATTTTTTTTTAAATACTTTGAACATTAAATACGAAATTATTATTTACTCATATAGATTTGAAAAAAAATATAAAATTTGCAAATTGTTCAAATATTGATAGCTTAAATACACAATAATAATATGTGAAAAAAAAAAATTTATTTAGAATATTGAATGGGGTCTTCACATTTTTGAAATTGATTTATAATTCAATTTTGTGAAATCCAATTTTAATGAAATATGTAGACGTACTTATACCTACATGAGTATCTACTTGAGTACATAGTTTATTTCGTTATTAGTCGCTGATTTTCTCATTATTTTACTATGGTTTAATAATATACTCGTGTAATATTCCAGTAATTTAGAACAATACTTTTAAAAAAGAGTTGCTTTTAGTAAGTATTAAGTTATCCATATGATCACAGAGGAAAGCAATAGAAAGATTTTCTTTAATAAATTTCTGAAACGCCGTGAATCATGAAATTTAATAGGGAACTACTATGGAAATAGATACTTATATTTTATAAGGATTAAATTTCACACCGGTTGAGGAATCTGGACACTAGTTTCTACATTGATCCACTAAAAATATTAATTTTCACTTCTCTAAATTCGGTAACTTTAAATAAATTTTTGTTTACTCAAAAAAAAATTAACATGTATCATACATAATTATAATACTTATAGTTGCACTTTCCTCTACAAAAATTAATGAAAGCTCTTAATTTTAACCTTCTTGCTTAATTTAAAAAAATTGAATACCTACTTAGTACTTATAATATTTTACTTAATACATAAGAAAATATTTTTCTTAATATTAGATTAATTTAATATGCAGGCTAGTAAGAAGATACCTACCAGAGTTTCACCGTTATTTTTGTGTGAATTTCAAAATATCGGTTCTTTATTTTTAGCATTATTAAATTAAGGTTAATATTTTCGTATTTTATCATTGATGACTTTTAAACTGTTCACTTTTATAAAATAAAAAATTTTACTGCCATACTTAAATGGTATGTGCTAAAAAAGAACGCTACGTCCTATGTAAATTGTAAATATTAATATGATTTATTTATTAGATTTCGAAGTTGTAGGGCTTCGGAAGTTAAATGAATTAAACGATATTTTACAATAACTTTCATATTAAGTACTCGTAACTACTTGCTACACCTGATACACTCAACGTACTCATTTATATCTAATAAATTGTATATTAAGCGCACTACTTTTACTCGTAATACCTACATTTCACTGCGTGTTATTACTCTTATAAAAGTTTTGTTTTCAGAATAAATGTAATACTTAATTCTGTGCATTTTTCTTCCATAAGCTTATGTAATCTTTTAACAAGAACATAATTTAAATATTGGTCACCATCCTCCTTCCTAATATCTACTTATATGCATTTTATCCAATTGAGATTAGTGAATTTTTTATTTTTTATGTGAATAATTTTTAAAGTGAATAAATTTAATAATAATAAAAAAAAAAAATATAGCCTAAAAAAAGTTTCAGGTTCCATCATCACCTTATCCGTGTTATAAAAAATTTTTTGTTTTTTTTTTTGCTGCGTCGTCAATTTTTTCACTGAATTCAAGTGCAATGTCGACGGACGGCGACGCAAATGATGATACTGATGCTGGTATTGATATTATTGATAATGATGAGACATTCATAAAAAAAAAATATGTATTTTTTTTTTTAATTCTTAAGCAGAACAAAAATAAAAATGAAAAAGAAGAATAAAATAAGAAAAAAATCAAAGTTTATAACCAAAGATTTGAGATATCTAATAATGGTAACTTGGTACCCACCAAAAATATAATAAATAAATAAAACATAAAATATAACGAAACAACCAATAAGTATACAAAATAATAAAATAAGATTTAAAATTTAAGATTTATAGAAAGCAAATTTCCTTGGTATTTGTTTTTTTTTTTTTGAAATACGGCAAGGTCGCCTGAATTGCCGATTTAAATAATTGTTGTGTTTGATTCAGATAAGAAATCTTCATTTTTTTAAATTATTATTACAATTTACAATGAAAAGCAAATTGTATAACAGTAAATTTATAAAAATTTATTATACCTATTTTGTTGTACTTACACATTTTCAATTTATTTGTGAGTTTCTTTTGTATATTTTAAATATCAAATTGAAATCAGAAAAATTGTATTTTTAGTTAATTTCTGTTGACTGTTCTAAACGTCAATTTAACGTCAAATAAGTAATGTTTTGAAATTTAAGTGTTATACCTAAATGAACATCGTATATGGATTCCGATCGCTAAAAAAATATTGTTTTATATATTATTATACGTAATATTATAAAAGTAATAAATTGATATTGAGGCATGATTCAATTTTTGAATGTCGAAATGCAAAATATATAATAACTTTACGTAGAACGCAGCGTTCTTTGAAGCATTTATAAATACCATATATATTTTATTCTTAAGACATATAACAGGTATTACTGTGATAAGCATGAATTATTTCCCAAGAACGAATAAATGGGATCCAAGAGTGTTAGCTTGCAAGTTAAGATTGCAATGGGATCCAAGAGTGTTAGCTTGCAATTAGTAACAGACAATTATTATAAGACTCGAATTAAAGAAAATAAATGTAATATTGAGTACATTAAGAGAATTATTATAATTAAGTTCAAGAATTGAAAAATTCAATATTGTCCAAGTTCTTACAAGTTACAAGGCCATTCAATGTTAAAATATAATCCAACTTTCAAAACCAAACAGACAAATTATTTTATTAATTTTACTCTGTTTTCATTTTTGGATTTAAAAATGTGCTAAAAATAAAAAAAATTTTTTTTTTTTTAAGAAAAAAGGAAAAAAAAGTGTCGGCGGGAATTTTTGTTTTTGGTTCTCTACACATTTTTTTTTTCGAGTTTTGATTTTAGGTTTTTTTTCTTTTCTTTTTTGGTTTTACGTTCTTCTTTTATTATTATTTTGTCTTTTATATATTTATAACTCTTATCTTTTTGGGTGTTTTTGCATTTATATAGCTGTTAGTCAGTTGAAAAAGAATTTCTGTTGATACCACTTTTCGTCGTGACTTCTTACTTTAAAAAACAAAAAAAAAAAACGAAGAATGAAGTAAATAAAATCCCAAACTTAAAAAAAAAAAAACATATGAATCCAAGGAACTAATATTTAAAAAAGAAAAAGAAACTCAAAACAAAAAAAAACAAACTTGATTTGATCTTCAAAAACTC